CGTGGCCTGGCTGCTGCTCCGGCTGCTCCTGTACCTGGTTTGTGCCGCCAGCGCCTTCTTGCTCGGCTGCTTGCTGGCTCTGGGGAGCCGAGGTCGCGGCCGCCTCCGACGCCCGCCGGATTTCCTCGCCGCTTCGAAGCGCCGTTACCTGGGAAGGGCGAGCGCTGCGCCCTCCTGGCGAGCTGCCGCGGTAAGCGATTGCCTTTCCGTGACCTTAGCTGCTTTTCCTTCTTCTCTGCTTTGACGTTATCTCCCCTGTTTTCTACCCGGGGCTGGGGTCCCCCCCCCTTTGGAGACAGGGCTGAGTTTAAGCCGGGAAGCATCTGGGCTCAGCCCTCCTTCGGATTCTTGGACCTGAACCCCGTGGCAGGAAGTGCCTTGAATCTGAAAGGAGTGATTTTCCTCACAATTGAGGTATCCCATCTGCTACCGTCCTCTGCGTGGGGGATTGGAGTCCTTCAGGTATTCTTGGTCTTTCAGTAAGTCACTGTCACCTGAAACAGGTTAGAGCTCTGTTGTACCCTGCACAGAGGACAGGGAAGAATAGGAAGAATAGGAAGAGAGGATGCTTAATTTTACTTTCCCCCTTCTCAATGTCATTGTTGAACCCTTGAGGACCTATGCTGACTCCTGTGTGGCGATGGGGAAGTCAATGCAGTTTTTGGAGCGCAGTCCTTCAAATAGGTAGTCCTCATTTAGCTACCGCAGTTGGGACTGGCAAATTGGTCATTAAGCAAAGCAGCCACTAAGCAAAACAGTGACTGTGCTTAGAATCTTACTTCAGCTTTCCTTTGCTTTACAGACCTGCAAAGGGTGTAAATGTGAAGATTGGTCAGAGTTATTTTTTCATCAGCGTTGTAACTGCAAACAGTTGCTAAATGAGGCAGTCACTAAAGGAGGACTGCCTGTAGGATTAACGTGGGTCACTTCGCCAGCATGGCCAGTATGTTTGAGTACTGCTAGGTCATAAATAAAACACAAACACTGAAAAACCCACTGAAAAATCTTGAGTTTGCAATTCAAGAATTGCATACCTTTAACTTAAAGAGAGATTCTATAGGCCTAGTGGCCTGTATGTAACAGCTGACTTACAACTTGCAGAACTCTTTGCACTGCTTTAACTCTTCAGTCTAGAGGTGTTAAAAGTAGCAACGGAGTAGTAAGATTTTACTTTGAGGATATTCTCTTCTTTGGGGTTCATTGTTTCATTTGTAAACACTACTTGGGCTCTACTACCACTAGTGAGCTCTTCCGAAGTAGATTGTTCCTTCATAAATAGATATTGCTTCTCCATAAAAATTGCTCAGTAGATTGCTACTCCATTAAAAAAGAAACCAGATAATTCTTTATAAGTAGAAACTTAGATGTTCACTTTATTGGGGAAGGATTTTTTTTTATATACAGAAGTTTTTAATAGAGGGGCTTTTAAAAAAAAAAAAAGATTCATTTCATCCTGTGGCCTTCTATCTGCATGATGAATTTATGTAGCCCAAATAAAGATTTATATCAAATCATAGTAGCTGAACTGTAGATAACTAACTAAAGTACCACAAGTCCCGTGAGGATTCGTGGGAATTGGTAGGTAGCAGCACATTGTTGAGTTAGCACATTGACAAACAATGTGTGGGCATGCTTTTTCATAGCTCCTCCTACTAGGTGGTGCATATGCTTTCATGGTTGCGGCTGTGACCTGAAAGTTCAAAACCTTTAGGGCAATAAAGTGCTTTTCTCTACCTTCTCTTAATTTTCATAGCATTTTCTTAGAAATACATTTATTTATCAAATAAGGTAAAGGTTCCTGACTCCATAACAACTCTATGCAGCTTAGAATATTGAAACAGATTAGAACAATAAAAAACAGGAAAAAAACAACAACCCCAAGTGTCCAGGAGAAGCAAAACAACACTAGCCCAAGACCTGAGGGAAATAACAGGTTGTAAGAGTTTGTTTGAATGAGGACAGGACAGGGGTTATACAGATGTTTGTGGGAATGCTATTCCAGAGGGCAGATGCTGCCATGGAGATTCAGGTTTTCTTGGTTAAATGTGCTTTGAGTTGATATTTTAAGCTAGTATCTAAGCAGATGAATTACCATAATCAGAGAGAGTCTGTCATAGGTTCAGCCCCTGCACTGTGCAGGAACAAGAAGGATCCCAAATTCTAAATCTGTTGAAACAATAGGTTCTAAATTGAAACAAGAAATGTAATATATACATAAAAATAGATTTAGAATTTGGGGTCTTTAGTTCTAAAATGCAAGTAAGATTAACTGTTGAGAATAATGTTTTATGTAGTAAAGTCAACTTGTTTTGGACAGATGTGTAATTGGATTGCTTGAAAACGTATTATCTCGATCATTGAAAAAAAGAGAGCCAGTGTGGTATGACAGTTGGAGTGTTGGATTTTGATCAAGTAGACTTAAGTTCAGTTCCCATTCAGCCATGGAGTTCACTGGGTGGTCCTGAGCAGTTTCTTTCAATATTTCCCACAGCAAGCAAAGTGACTATTGTGGGGATAATATGAAGGGAGAGACTCCATATATACTGCTTTGAGATTAAATTTTCTTCAGATTGAGATTGATACTTGGTGGTTTCGTGGGCAATTGGGGAAGTGGTTTTACATTGCCTTTTTCTAGAATATTTTTCAATGTCCCAGTCTAGCCTAGAGCTCTAGGATTCTCTAGAGGTCTCCAATCCAAGTACTAACCAGGCCCAAACCTACTTAGTTTTTCAGATTAAGCTCTCATCAGTTAAATGCTGCTACTTCCTGTGTGCCCTTGATGCGTGATGTTTTTGTGGTGGTTTTGATTGTATGTGGTACCCTGGATCAGAATAGTCATGATTCTTTTGTACACCACAATGAATGTACATTTCTATATAGAAATTACATCTGGAGGAGGACTCTCAGTGTGAAACTCAAAAAATAAACATTTTGATAAATGTGCATTCAGATTCATCTGCGATTAGAATCTGAATTTGAAAAACAAATGTGTGTGTGTGTGTGTGTGTGTATATATATATATATACACACACACACACACTTTATATATTATTACATTAATAATATATACATATATTAGATGAGTGTGTCATTAATGTTGTGAGTGCTGTTGTGTTCATTAGTGCAGGATGTGCTGTATGTATTATGTGTGCCACGTATATATTACAAGTGTAGAATATAGCAATTTGCTACAGATAATAATTGTCAGTTAATATGATCTCCTTGCTTTGTGGGTTGCTCTTTTCTGTACCTTTAATGGCTGCTTTTTATGATATCAGACTTTTGACCATACTGCAATTAGTAGGCTCAGAAAAGTGGCCATATCTGGTGGATATGATGTCTTTACGTGGATGTGATGCCTTTTCTTCTAAGAAGTAGAGGGTAATGGCTGTCAATAGTCCTGGGGAGTGTGTTATTCTCAAAAATTAAAAACACATTATTCCTGATACAGCCTTATGGGAAATCAACATTTAAAGAATCCTCATACTGTTTCTCTACAGTATTCCAGTTGCTCATTGTGGAACAATATTGCAAATAGGTCCACAGGAGCTACTAACCTGTAAGATAGTTGCTACTCCAGAAGTCTTGAGTCTTTAGCAGTAGTTCATTGGCTATTCTGTTTTGTTTTGTTTTGTTTTTTTGTGAAAGAATATTGATAATACTGAACAGTTCGTATTGATTTGTATATTTACATGGCTAATTGGCCTTCAGTAATAAGAACTCTTTCATTCTTAAGTGAGACTGAGTGTGTCTTTGCTGATAACTGCTATCTTTGGATAATGACCCAACATTCCTTTTACCTTCTAGGATTCAAGAATGAAGGTTTCTTGTCCTTTGTAGACGCCATTCAGATAGGTTGGATGGGTAGTTTCTTGATTGCCTATAGATTTCTAACCTTGGGCTAACAACTTAGGCATTGATAATGAGGATCAGCTAAAAGAATTCATAGTTTTACATACTTCTCACTTTTTGAGTGCCCCCTTATAATGGTTACTTTGGCTGCCTTCTTTACCAATAAGTTTAGTATTCTTTTAGATCCACTTTTTCATAAAATATTTTGCTTATTCTTTTATGTGATTGTCCATCTTTATCATGCTGTCTAGATTTTTGTGTGTGTTGTGGGGGCAACATTTAAAATGTTACAGGTAGTTCTTGCGTAATGATTGTTCATTTAATGATGGTTCAAAGTTACGATGGCCTCAGAAAAAGTGCTTTACAACCTGTACTTAAGACTGTTGCAAACCGTTGCACCACTCCCCCGGGATCATGTGATCACAATTTGCAACCTTTTTTATGATGGTCATAAAGCGAATTGTGATCGTTAAGCAAATTCCAACAAAAAAGTCCATTGGGGAAGCTGGATTCACTTAATGACCATGTGATTCACTTAACCACAATGATTTGTTTTATGACCATTATAAAAATGGTTGTAAAATCAGGTCCAGTCACGTGGTGACTCACTTAATGACTTCCCTGCTTAACAACTAATTTTCCAGTCCCTATTGTGGTTGTAAAGTGAAAACTGCTTGTAGTTCATGAGTGGCTCTGAAAATAAATCATTTTTAAATCATTTATCTATAAACCAGGCCTGAGCAAAATGGAAAAGAACCACACTGATAAATTAAAAATCTTCCTAGTGAGCTCCAAAAGAATACCTGGCTCACCAATCAGCTGTTCTGCAGCAAGTGAAGCAGTGGCAGTGCTGGAGGAGGTGGTGGTGAGGCTCGGGGCACTCAGCAGCACATCTTTTGGGGCAGCGGCAGTCAACTTATTTTTAAAAAATGCTGACAGGCCACACAAGCTGCTTGTGGGCTGCGTGTTGTGCAGACCTGCTAGAGATCAATCTTTGGGCTAGCAAAAAAAACAAAAAAAGAGTATATTGGCTAGGAAAGATACCTTGGCTACTTTGCTTCTGTTCCTTTTAGAAAGCTATGGCAGCCAATGGGTCACAAATGCAATTTGTGATGAAGATTGCAAAGACATTGTAAAACTACTGATGTCAATCTATATACTACTAAAACTCTCATGTCTGTAACCTTCAACTGGGCGAAACAGTGCATCATAAGGCAACAATTTTTGAACCAAGGTACTTCAAATGGGCTAACTCACAGAATGCGTCCAAAATCTGTGACCCATATTCCTGTGGGATTGAAATTTGTGGCCTCTTCAGCACTGCTGTGCTGCTGCTGCAGTCAGCCCAAGTCATGTGATTATCATGGACATATCCCCAACCTCTTTCTCTCCTCCCTCTATCCTTTGCAACCAATTGGCTGGTGGCAAGGCCCAGTGGGTGAGCAGTGTTTGGCTGCTTGTAACTGAGGCAGAAATTTGAGATCTTTTAATAAGGGGCATTAAGGGAAGGATGAGGTAGCGACTTGGATGCCTGCTGGCGAGGCAGGGCTGGCTGGTGGGTGCCAACAGATGAGCCCTCTTCCTCCCTTGAGGGAACGGGCCCTTGGGGACAGACTGGAATGGGGAGTGGGGGTACAGTTTTCCTTACACTCTGTGGCTTCCTTTGTTCTACCTCCCCCCAGCAAAGTGGCAGGCAGTTCTGCGGGTCAGCTGAGGAGAAGGAGGAGGAGGCTTCACCGGGGCTCTCCTGAGGGTTGTGAGGGGAGGGCAAATGGCCCAAGCCTATATTATATGTAGGAAGGGAGGGAAGGAAGGAAGAAAGGAAGGATTTCTGATGCTCCCTGCCAGCTTCCCACAATCAAAGTCAATGGGGAAGCCAGTTGCAAGTTGCTCACATTCCCATTGCTTTTTGCCCTTGGTCATTCTGTTTCTCTGTTTAGGTAAGGAAGTATCTCTAAAATGATGACCCAACAGGTCACAGGTTGTCTAGTTCTTTATAATTCCAAAACTCATTATAGTGACTAATTATATGTTTGTTTACTGATCATATGTTCAGGATAATTGAGCACCGGCGGCATTGCTAATCTATGTGTTTTAAAATTAGAATGGATTTAGTTACCTAAAATACTGGCCCTCAAAAGCATTTATTAAAAATGAGTAGGATATTGCAGGGCCCACTATGAACAGAAATTCATGTAATTTGCTTGCAATGATTTTCTTTGGTCAAATGGTTAATGATTTTTAATCTAAACATGGAATTGTGTTCATGCAGGGGTAGAACTGAGTTCATTGAGGTTTTATTGAAGATTCCCAAATGGCTTAAACTGCAGGGCAATATGCAAGCAAATTTAAAATATCACTAGCAACTGCAGAAATCTGCTTCCAAGGTCATGAATGGAAGTAAGTTTTATAAAATACTGACTTTTAAGTGGATTCCTTGCATGGCACAATCTCTATTCAGGTTCCTACAGACTTTTTTTTTCTTTTTTTGCTGATGTTGTTTATAACATGGTGTTATTATATAGGTGAGATTTTTATTTATTGTAATTATATAGCTGCCCATCTCACACAAAGTGACTCTGGGCAGTGTACAACAATTAAGAAGAATAAATACATAAAAACAATTACATGTCAGATGTCAAAAGATTGAATTGTGCGATCTTGGATTAATCTCTGCTTCTTATTCTTCTGTGACATAAAGGTATGGAGGAGGAATAACATACCTTGAACTATTTTAGTCAAGTACTAAGGAGAGCCCAACAATGCTAACATAGCCAAGAATATATATCTATAATTTATTTCATAACAACAACTTGATATTGTAAATTTAGTTAACATAGAGGACATTAGATTTGCAAATTAACCCACAAATATTATTAGCTCACAAAAAGGGATGAAGCTGCTTCCATGCACAAATCTATGCAAGTCCATTGATGCCCACAAAAACAACCCCCCATGACATTTGTACAATATTTGATTCAGATTCTATCTTTAACTGTAGCAAACTCAATCAATAGCTATATATAAATGTGAGAGGGTAAAATATAAATGTACTTGTAACAGCTATTAAGAAGATTGGAAACCACTTTATTACTTTTTTCTTTTTCTTTTTCTTTTTCTTTTTTTCTTTTTCTTTTTATTTCTTTTTCACTTTATTACTTTTCCTTATTCTTTTTCTCTTCATTTCAAAATTTGTATTGTTTCTATTCTGTTGAAAACTTCTTTAATAAAAATTATTTTTAAAAAATCTATATATAAACCTGAGCTTTTAGATGGAGAAAAAAAATCACTGATGTGCAACTCATTAACAATTCTGATATTATAAAGGGTTAAATAAAGTTCATGAAGGGACAGTCTTTTTCTTGTTTTCATAATCTTGGTTTTGGCATTTAATTTTTTGCTAGCTATTTTTATGAAATCTAAAATTGTAATAGTTGGTCTGTAGGCTGAAAATCTAACTCCATTAGTTGTTTTCATGGCTTATCTTTAAATTTTAATATATATCAACATTGCAAGCTGCTAAGAGATCCTTATTTGGGGAAGCATATAAATATTCTAAGTACATTTATAAACATTTTCCATAAAATGATAATATGTCTATTAGAGTTTCACTGTAGCTCATAATTTTTCAGTGTTAAAAATGTGCCAAAATGATGGAAGAAGGCACACTTGAAATAGGCACTTGATTGCAGATTATATTATAATATATAATATAAAAATAAAATATATACTATAGTTGCAATTTAGGTTTTGAACTTTTAAAAGATCCTTACACAGTTTTTACTTTTCCTAGCTGTGTAATTCTGAATAAAAGTTTTAAATAATCCTAAAAGATTATGAAAAGGTACTTGTTGCATTACAGACTTAAATTTTCTAAAACTCTACAATCAAACTTTTCTAGTACTTAGTATTGAAGTTGTTGCCCAATATTAATTTTGTTGCCAAGACCAGGATCCCATAAATCCTGCAACAGGTTATACACATTCAAAGATGCTTTGGGCTTGTTTTTCTTGAACATCAATCGCCCACATTATTTACTTTTGAATTGTGCAAGTTTTCACATTATGTCCTGTTTGATAGGATAATTTTTTAAAAAGTCATCTGATTTTGCTTTTTGTGCAAATGGGTTTTCAGTCTTTGGCTCTAAACAGAAAACTGTTTTTGTGGATAATCTAGGTTCAGTATGTCCTTTTTGTCCTGCCAGTGCTAGTTTTATTTTTTTCATCATGCCATAAAAAATCAGTGATGGGTTTGGTGGATTATGGCTTTTCTTCTTTTTAAGCATCTTTTGAAAAAAATCAAGGGAATGGCCTAAATATGTGCCTAAGTGTCTCAGATTATGTGCTTGATCTGTGAGAACCTTTCAGGAAAGGTTAATTTAATTTCTGACCTTGAAATTAAAGCTAGAGTTTGGGACTGGAATACCTGAACTGAATGTTGGTGTTCACATGCATTTTAGAGCCCACGTGCTCCCTGCTCCAACTACCCTCAGAAATCATGCTGCCAGATGTTGGTGAAAAACACTGAAAAATGGAGATGAGAATTTCCAGTATTTTGTTCTTCCCACAGCGATGATTAACGTTGAGCTCTGGATGGTAGCAGAATCAAGTGTTTAGTATTTGCAGGATATTGATGAATGAGCTCATTTAATATTGTGTTCCATTTGTATTTATACTATGTGTAGAAACATAATTGTTTCCTCTAGCTCTCTGAATGGGGCAAGGTGTAAATACGTTTTTGGAGGATATTGTAATTGAAGAATGAGATATTCACATCTTGAATACCTTCACATGTTTTGCTAGCAGGGAATGGGGAGCAACTGTATTTTCCTGTTCTGAAAATAATAAAAAAATACTGATGTTATTCTTCATTGATTGACAGAGGGCAAAGAATCTCCATTCAGAATCTTTGTACATTCTGTGGTGGTTATACAGTTCTCCCAACTAACAATGCATGTGTGTATCTTGAGGCTCTTCTCTTCACTCCTAAATGCTTTCCTCCTTAAGCATACTTGTGGAGATTCACAGTTCTTTATGTGCCCCGGAGATATTTAGCAAGGTATAGATGTTAATACAGGTAGGGATATAGAGAACACCCCTGTATCCTTTGTCTTTCAGTTATGAAATACTGATCTTTGCATTTTCAGTTTACATACAATAGTATACTTTATTTGTAAATGTCGTTTTAAATGTATATTATTACATTATTTTATTTATAATTGCTTTTATTGCACATATGCCCTTTTGAGACATCATGAAAGGTAAGATATAAATAACTGAAATAAATATTTTTTAATCTTGTCCACTGAGCGAGTTTTAAAAAGCAGAATTCAGAGGTGGTAGAATGGCCAGGGTTTTGACATTAGTTTGGAAGAAAAATTCTTATTTAATTATGATGACTTGTACTTAATACTTTGTACAGTATATTGGACTTAGCACAGTTTGTGCTGGATATATTTGTCAATTCTTGTACTATGCAGTATTCATCCATGTCTACCGTGTGTGCTTTTTTCCTGGCTTTTAGAACCTCTTATCTGGAAATGTACACGAAGCAGTCCAGTCAAGGAGAGTGGTGATTTCTCATAACATGGACAAAGCCCTGAAAGAAGGTAAGTCTCTCCTAAGGTCGTTTTGGACTAGAAACCAGTTATTTGAGAAGTTACTATACACTAATGGATTAAGATTAAAATTAAATAAATAAATAAATAAATAAATGCAAAATGCTTCCTGTTGCTTCTTGTTCTACAAGTAACAGGAGAGAATGGATTGCCAGCACTTAGGTTATCCTAGATACAATAGGTGTGGTATAAGAGGCAGTGGAACAGTTTGTTGGTAATTGGAGAAGGTAAAAATACTCTTGATCAGTAGCATCATCATTCATATTCAAATTATACTTGCTTATTTCTAACATTTTTAAGGTTATATGCATACATTTAGATTCAGGTTGTCCTCAACTTATGACCATTCGTTCAGCAACCGTTCAAAGTTATGACGGTGCTGAAAAATGGGCTTATGACTGGTCCCTGAAGTTATGGCCGTTGCAGTGCCCCCGTGTCGTGTGACGATCTGGGCACTTAACAATCTGTTCGCATTTACAACCGATTGGCAAGCTCCCCACAATCATGTGATTGCCATTTGCAACCTTCCCTGCTGGGTTCCCACAAGAAAAGTAAATGGGAAAGCCAGCAGGGGAGGTCACAAGTCGCTCAGGTAAGTCTCCCCCACCCCAGCCTTTCTTTGCTTGCATGCACTGCACCTTTCTTCCCCCTTTGCTCACTCACACACACCAGTGCCCTACTTCCCCTTTTGCTTGCTCACATACACCATGCCCTTTGCTTGCATGAGCGCCCTCCTTTCCCCTTTGCTTGCTTGCATGCATGCACCGCACCCTCCTTCACTCATATGCACCAGCATCCTCTGTCCCTGCTTGCTTGCTTGCACCAGTGCCCTCCTTCCCCCTTCGCTCGCTCACACACATCACGCCCCCACTGTGCTCTGGCTCTGGGGCTTTGCAGGAGGAAGGAGAAAACCTCATGAATGGCCAGCAGCTTCCAACATGAGCTGCAGACCACGTGCCAGAAGTGCCCCTGGAGAGTCCTTCAGCACCCGGAAGTGCCCCCGGAGAGTTCTTGAGTGAGTGAAGGAGGAAAGTGTCAGGCCCAGCCCAAGAACAATGATGAAACAGTCCAATCCGGTCCGGTCCAGTTCCTTTATTACCTTACACCTTATAGACAGAATCTTGCCAAACTAAATCTATACTACAGCATCTAATGGATATACCCTGTGAGATTCTAGGGAGTGGCTATCCTGAATCTCTTAGTCTTCCCATGTTCCCCCTGAGGACTATGCTGCCTCTTGCCTCCTCCTGACTCCTGGAATGCATCCCCTCCTTCCTGATAGCCTTGATCTCCCACATTACTCTCCTCCTCGTAGATACATTCCATCACATTTTTATTT